CACTCCCCCTGCTTGTGTTCCCTCTCTCGCTGCGTCTCTGTCAAATAAATAAATGGAATCTTTAAAAAAATAAATAAAATAAATAAAAATAAAATGGTCACTTACAGCAACAGTAAGATAATGGAACGGGTGATGCCTGTAAGAACAAAATGTAGTTCAAAGTCTCCAGCGGGCACAGACCACTTCCCGGTGCCCAGCCCCAGCCTGTGACGACTGCCAAAGCTACCTGTTCCACCTTCCCTGCCCTGCTCAGTATGCCCCGGTCCCTGCCTCCCTCCCCGTCCCAGGCCGGAATCCCGTAGAGCCTCCCACAGGGCACGCGGGACACAGAGGTAGTCCGCGGAAGTCTTTTCTGGAAAGCAGCTGGTTGCCCCTCTCGGTTCCACAGCTGCTCTCAGGCATTGCTTGTTTTTAAATGGCAGAGGACATTGTGATTTTCCGGTGGCCCAAACTGCTTTAGGAAAAAAAGCCCTGGGAACAACCCAGAAGGCCACCGCGGGTCTCCTCAGTTCTCTTTCTTTCTTACCATCACCAACCGTTCCTTTTTCAAACCCCTCTGTGTTTTGCGGTCCCGCCCTCTCTGCCAGGACTGGGTCCCCCGCGAAGCTTGGCCCTGGGTCCTGGGTGCGGCGGGGGCACCCCCCACCTCCCCTGTCCCTCCGCCCGCCCTTCTCTCCCTCCCCTCCCGGAGGGGGGCTGCTGCGGGGACAGTTGGAAACAGGTCAGGAAGCGGAAGGGAGAAACATACACTTTTATTTCAAAGTTTTATGTGAAAAAAATAAAATTTGCACTGCCAAAACTAGGACTAAAGCCTTCGCAGGTAAACCTTTGAGAGACCGTGAAAGCGAATCCTAAAACTTCCATGGTGAATTTTTCTGGAAAAATTTTTACAGAAACATATCAGATGACACACTGGCGTCTTTGTCTTGATAAGACAGATTGATAGACGTGAAGAAGAGATCACCCAGGTTTTTTCCCGTGCTCATATAAAACCCAGTACGCTGGTGCACTATTCTGGGGCCCCGAAACAAATACCTGGAGGAACCAGGCAGTTAGGATGAGAGCCAACTTCAGAGGACAGAGGCTAGTCTGCTCCAGCCAGCTTTTGCCAGGGAACATGGAACCATTGTGGCCAGCTGTGATTTTTCAAGAGAAGCTTTAAAAAATCCAGTTTGTGGGGTGCCTGGGTGGCTCAGTTGGTTAAGCGACTGCCTTCGGCTCGGGTCATGATCCTGGAGTCCTGGGATCCAGCCCCACATCGGGCTCCTTGCTCGGCGGGGAGTCTGCTTCTCCCTCTGACCCTCCCCCCTCTCATGGGCTCTCTCTCTCCTCTCATCCTCTCTCTCAAATAAATAAATAAAATCTTTAAAAAAAAAAAATCCAGTTTGTGTGTCTGTATGAGAATGTGTACATGAAATCTGTCAGTTTTTGAATGTTGGCTTAATGTTTTCTAAAGCAGACCAAATAAAACTTGTATCTCACCTCTGTTCTGGATTTAGAGAATCTATTCAGAATAAAGGGGATAAGAGTCAAATCAGTCAAGTAATAAGTACTTATGTTTAGGTTTTCCTAAGTACAGTAGCAAACATTGCCTCTCGTCCAAATGCAGTTATAATCTCCATATATATGCTAGCAATTCACAAATTAAGTTCTCTTTGATATAATTTGTATGGTTCGATCTCCTCTATCCTGCATCCCTTTTTTTTTATAAAGACCCATTTATTTTTTAAATTTTATTTATTTATTGGAGAGAGAGACAAAGATAGCGAGAGAGAGAGCAGGAGCAGGGAGGAGAGAGGGAAGCAGGCTCCCCACTGAGCAGGGAGCCCGACATGGGGCTCGATCCCAGGGCCCTGAGATCATGACCTGAGCTGAACACAGACGCTTAACCAATTGAGCCACCCAGGTGCCCCAAGACCCACTTATTTATTTTAGAGAGAGAGAGAGAGAAGGCAGTGGAAGGGGGCAGAGGGAGAGGGAGAGAAGCAGATGCCCCGTTGAGCACAGAGCCCCAAGTGGGGCTCAATCCCATGACCGCAAGACCCCAAGATCATGACCTGAGCCAAAATCAAGAGTCAGAGGCTTAACCAACTGAGTCACCCAACCGCCCCTCTCCTGCATCCCTTTTTCAATGTCAGATTGAGGTTTTGGTTTGCAGCATCCACAGGGCTGACTTTGTTGCTTACCACACCCCTAACCCAGAAGGTCACATCTGTCTTTCCTGTAGGAACATGCACACTTGTATCCAGTGTAGCAGGCTAGGGTGAGGGGGGAGACAGAGGAATAATAAGGGCTTTCTTCCAACTTCTACCTGGGGGTTTTCTAAGATACTGTTGTCAGAAAAGGAAACACAGCTTAAAGTTGCTGTATGGAAGGATCTCATCCTCCATGTGGCAAATTACTAATATGCCTGTTCAAATGAGGTTCCGTCCTTCTTGAAGATCAGGAACTTAAACCTACGCTGCTCTCTTGTAGATAATTGGAAATTCCTACCTGAAGAGATCGAACTTCCTGCCCCAAACTGCCACCAGCACCTCACTCCTTCCAGCTCCATCTTGGGAGGCAGCAGCCCCTCTTTCCACTGGAGGCTTAGAGAGCCAGCACCCCCACTCACCTTCTGAGGAGGGAAGGGCCACACAGGCAGCCAAGGCCACGAGAGCGAGTCCTGTCTGCTGCATTCCTGCCTGCCTCACCAGCCGGGGCTGTGCTGCAGCAGAGGCTGGAGGATCAGGAAATGAGGCTGGAGGTGGCCTTGGGAGCAGAGCATGTGGAGGAAAAGGAAGCAGGAAGCCCCGCCCCCGGAGGTGCTGGGGTACCTATCTCATGTTTCTTTCCTTGAGACCAGGTTCTTTCTTAAGACCCAACCTGTCTGGTCTGGCAAGGTCAACAGTGTCAGACACCTGAGGGTCTGGCAACATCAGCAGGGATTTGGCAGTTGGTGAGGTCATTGTGAGTTGGGGGTGTGCATCAGAATCACTTGGGAACCATTAAAAAATAGTGATCTACTTGACTTCCTCCACAAACCTATACATCAGGATTTGGAGAGGGGGACCAGTCATTTGAATTATTTTGAAGCTCCATAGGTGATTCTGATGGACACCTCTATTGAGAACCACTGCCTAAAGGAATCAGAGTTGTTTTTTGGTTTTTTTTTTTTAAAGATTTTATTTATTTATTTGACAGAGAGAGAGACACAGTGAGAGAAGGAACACAAGCAGGGGGAGTGGGAGAGGGAGAAGCAGGTTTTCCGCGGAGCAGGGAGCCCGATGTGGGGCTCGATCCCAGGATCTGGAATCATGACCTGAGCCGAAGGCAGACGCTTAACGACTGAGCCACCCAGGCGCCCGAATCAGAGTTTTTTAAGTGGCTTGGTGAAACTAAGAGTTTCTGGTTTCGGGGACAAGGGTGACAAGTCATAAAAAAAACATTATCTGGTGGAAAGATATGGAAAAATTCAACCCCACTCTGGTCTTGGTTTACAGCCAAATTGTTTCCAGTGGAGCTGTTAGTCTATTTAGGAGGAAAGTAAGACAGGTAGAAAGGCTTCTTCCCTCTAGGCTTGCCTGGTAAAAAAGAGAGGTCCAGAGTAGGTGTGAGCAGGCCTAAGGAGGTTCGGGTTCTAGTCCAGCTTTGCTGCGAATCAGCTTTGAGAATAAGACTATAGGGTAGGGTGAGGATAATTGGCTTCTAATCCCGCCTTTTTTACTAACTGGTTGCATAACTTCAGAGTTATGTACTTAACTTTTCTGTAAATAAGAAGTCAGGCTGGACAATCTCCAAAATCCTGCCATACTTCCTCTATAATTGCCCGGTTTCATGCAGTAGCGTTTGTCCATATGTGGCCCCTGGGCATTTGAAATGTGCTAGTCCAAATTCAGATGCACTGTGAGCACAAAATACACACCAGATTTCAAGGACTTAGTACAAAAAATATAAAATATTTCATAAATAATTTTCATATTGATTACATGCTGAAATGTAATTGGGTATAAATGTATTTGGATATATTGAGTTGAATAAAATACTATTAAAATTAACTTCACTTGTTTCTTTTTACTTTTTTCCTATAACTACTCAGAAAATTTTAAGTCATATATGTAGCTTATATTATATTTGCATTGGGCAGTTGCTTTGTAAGGTCAAGGGCTAGAGGTCAGAATTGTCCCTCCAGCTGTCAAGATGTACTTAAACAAGCTCCAATGTCACCATCAAGAACAACCATAAAAGAGGATGAAATCTTGCCATTTGCAACGACATGGATGGATCCAGAGGGTATAATGCTAAATGAAATAAATCAGTCAGAGAAAGACAAATACCATATGATTTCACTCATGTGTAGAATTTAAGAAATGAAACAAAGAAAATAAGAGACAAACAAAAAAACCAGACTCTTAAAATATAGAGAACAAACTGGTGGTTACCAAAGGGGTGGTGGGTAAGGAGATGGGTGAAATAGGTGATGGGGATTAAGAGCACACTTACCATGATGAGCACTGAGTAATGTAAAGAATTCTTGAGAAACATTCTGTACACCTGAGACTAATATAACACTGAAGGTTAATTATACTTCAATTTAAAAAATAAATAAAATTTTTTGAAAAGAAAGAGAAGCAAATTAAAAAGAAAAAGGACTGGAGTTATAGTAAACTAGGAAAAGGGAGCTTTGGAGTACGTGGGTCTAGGCAAAGATGGCGGCCTGAATGACCCAGTCCTGCCGAGCAGCAGTTCCAGACTCTGCCACCAAGCAAGGGGACCCTTCCACAGGTCTAGGTAATAGAGCACAGAGAACCTGCGGAGGTGACCTGCTTCTCCACAGTAGAAAAAAAGCCTCTGTTCAGATAAAATGAAGGGTGACTACTGGATAACCCAGAGAGATTTTTAGTCCAACAGGAAGGCTGGGCTCCATTTTTAGTCCAACAGGAAGGCTGGGCTCCATTTT